CCCCCCCCCCCGCCCCCCAGCCGCCCTGCCGGCCACCTCACATCAATGTCCTTCTGCTTCTGCCGATGGTCCTCGATGAGGCTGCCGGTGGTGATGTTGAGTTTCTCGCAGTCGCCCTGTACCTGCAGGATGGCTCTCTGGATGTGGCCCAGCAGCTCTTCGTCCTGCGGGGAGGTGGCACACAGGTGTTGGGCGCCGCCCCTTAAATCATCGTCCAGCAGGTGACGCTGACTTCAGACCCCTTTTCTGGCTCTCCTCCGCAGTTGCCCCCTGCAGTGGGGAGGCTCTCTGCTTTTTTCCAAGTGTCCCCCTAACTGGACATGAGCTTCAGTCTCCCACCTCCCCACGGACTAGCCTCTGGGGAACCGGCCCCCCTTTGGGGGAGACCAGAACAGGTGATCGAGAGGCTCCGGAGTGGCCCCCGAGAGCTGAGATGTGGCCTACGGTCTCCCCATCTGCCCTGAGCTGGATCTGAACTCCAGAGTCCAAGAGGTAGGACTCAGGGACTTGTGCCTGTCCCTGCCCCCACCAGCAAGCCTGCCCTTCTGTGGGGAATTAAGAACGGTGCTGGAGGGCTGGCATGAAAGGGACTTAATGAACCCTAAAGCTATGCCAGCGTCCCCGAGGCACACGAATACATGGCTCTTCACCTCAGCCAGCTCTGCCGTCCCACCCCTACGGAGCCAGCTCTTCCCCGTGGCCTCCTGTCCCCAGAGCCAGCTCTGTTGCTGCCCCCACTGCGACCCCGTGAAAGGACCTGGGACTGTTGTGGGGTCAATAAAGAGCTCCACAATGGAAAACTGGCCCTTAGGCCTGTTAAAGCTCCACCAGCCACTCCCTGCTCTGTGGGCCTCTGAGCTGTGGCTCCCCCGCTGGGGGCCGTGTGTGGCCACACGAGGAGGGAGGCCAGCGGGAATCACCTGGCTCTGCAGCTTGGCTTTCTTGGAGGGCCGGGTGGCAGCCAGATTGGTGACCGTGTCCTGGAGCTGCTCGTAACGCTGCACCAGCATGCTGACCTGATGGCCCAGGTCCAGGCTGCAGGCCGGGCAGGTGGTCTCAGGGTCGATCTGGCTAGGTGCCGAGGCTGTTAGGATCTTGCGAGGAGTCATGCTCATGGACAGCAGCGTGGAGGATGAGGCCAGCATGCTCTCGATGATCGTCCTGAGCTTGTCCAGCTGGGCGCGGGCGAGAAGGCAGGTGCAGGGCGGTGAGTGAGGCACGGCCACCTTCTGTCCACACTGCCACTGCTAGCGTGTGCTTTCTGCCCCTGGCCTGTGCGATGCAGGCGGTCGCTGCAGCCTCACAGAGAGTGCGGCCGATGGGAGATGCCCGGTGCCTGTCCTTTGAGTAGTGAATATGGTGCTCAGGGAGTGAAGCATTAATGCTGAATAAAACCCTTGCAGGAGGGAGGTTTCGGGACCTTTCTCCAGCCAGCTCATTGAGTCAAGGCAAGGACATAGCTCTTCTAGCTAAACCCTAGGGTGGTGATGTCAGTTAGCCAGTCCACAAACACTGAGAGGAGCCTGACGACACGCAGACACGGCTCCGGGCCCTGGCGACGGGAGGGGTGGGCTCACACATGCTCTGTCCCCATCCAGCGTGTCGGTAACAATAAATCAGTGGGGTCAGAGCTACTTCTGCCGTGGGGGTCTCTCACGGTCTGGGCGGGAGCAGGTTCCTTCCACTGGCTCTCCTGCTCTCTTCTGTTCCCCACAGTCCCGGTTTGTCACCACAAAGGACTGGTCTCAGGTCAGCACCCGATTTGGGGGCAGCCAGTCCCACAGGCGTTTGACCTTTCGCCTGGCTCAGAGAGGGGCTGGGCCAACCTAACCCCCTCTTGGAAGTGTGCGACGTTGTCGGGCCTTGGCAGCCACTGTGGGCCGTGTGTGAGAGATAAGAAAGCTGGCCGAGAGTCCCGCGGAAGAGAGATGTGGAGGTATTTGAGAGAAATGGAGAAGGACAGGGACACAGAAGCACAGGTACACACAAAAACAGACACAGAAAGACAGACAAGCGGGGGGGGGGGGCGGGGGGGCCCGGTGAGACTGCCCCCTGGAGGGTCCGCTCTTTCCCAGCCCCCGTAACCCTGTGCCCTTTCAACCGAGCTCCCTTTTGCCTGAGCTCAGTGAGACTCTTGCTCGCGCCCGGAAGAGCCCCCACTCTTCTGAAGAGCCCATGATAGCATGTCAAAGGGCCCCTGGGATAAAAAGGATGGATTAATTCTAGAAGAGAGGATGATGCAGTGGAGTTGGGAAGAACGAGTCGCAGTCGTTTGGGTAAGAAGGGGTGACGGGGACATTCCAGGGAGAGCGGCAGTGTGTTCAGAGAAACGTGGGAAGCCCAGGTAGCTGGAGAATCGGGCGTGTGGAGGCTGGGGCCTTGAAGAGGCTGTGGCAGGAGGCCAGGCCGGCCCAGCACGGAGCGGCTTCTCTCTGAGTATGCCCTCCCACTCCCACCCCTGACAGCCCAGAGGTGGCTAAGCTCAGACATGAGCTTTGGAGTGACGACTCTGGGACACATCTGCTGCTCCTCAGGCCCCACACTGGACAGCTGGCTTTGGGGTCACGAAATGGAACACGCAGGTGCTCTGGCAAACTTGGAAATGGCCCAGAATGGGGCCTCCAGCACCGAAGGGCTCCTGACATGAGTCCCCTTGGCCCAGTGGCTTTTCCTATCTGCTCCTTCCACAAGTGCTCAGAGGGCTGTCCAGACACTCCTCAGTGGGGACCCTCCGGGGTGACCAACGGTAGCATCACTCAAGATTTAAAGGTAGACATTGTCAAGAGCGTGTAAAGGGGGGCGCCTGGCTGGCTCAGTAGGTTAAGCGTCCCAACTTGGGCTCAGGTCACAATCTCAGGGTTTGTGGGTTCGAGCCCCGCATCGGGCTCTGTGCTGACAGCTCAGGGCCTGGAGCCTGCTTTGGATTCTGTGTCTCCCTCTCTCTCTGCCCCTCCCCACTTGTGCTCTGTCTCTCTCTCTTAAAAATAAATAAACATTAACAAAAAATTAAGAGCGTGAAAAGAGAGTGGGAGAAAGTATTTGCAAATCATATGTCACATAAGAGTCTAGTAGCCTCACCGCCCACGGCCAGCTCCGAGAAGGGGCCTGGTTCCTACCCCTGAAGAGTCTAGAATCCTTACCTGGTCCTGCAGGTAGAGAGAGGCTTCGGAGACTGAATGTTCCATGCTGACCTTGCCCCGCTCTTGGCTCTCCCTGAGCTCGGCCAACTCCTTCTCAATGTCGGCCACGGTGACTCTGAGAGACGGGCAGGAGAGTTGGCCTGGCCCCACCGGCCGCCCAAAGGGCCCAGGCCCACCGGGTCCACCAGGGGCAGAGTAAGATGCACACCAGGCCTCTCCCAGCCACCCTGCAGCAGGTTCCGTCTCGGGAGTCCCAGGTGCTGCGTGTCCCGGAGGTGTGTGCCCGCCTGCTGGCCTGAGAGGTCTAGGGGGTGAGACCTGACATCACAAAGTGAGGGCTCTTGAGGGGCTCTGGCAAGTGCTCTCCTACAGCCTCCGACTGGGGAGAGAGACTAGCCTCTTTTTTCCTTCCTAGCCCTGGTGCTGAGCTGTTTTAAGAACTTAGGACATTTTCACCAGCAACTTGAACTAGACACGGACACCCTGAAGGGCAGACACAGCCCGGGTCAAAGACAGGGCCCAGTTCAGACTGTGAGTGAACCCAAGGCTCCTCGCCTGGGAATACGTGATGCCAGGACACGGGCTGCCCTTGGCAGGGGCGTTTTACCTGAGGATTCCCAGCTGCGTGCTCAGCTGGTCGTCTTTCATTTCTTTTCCGATTTCCTGTTCCCTTTCGCCCTCCAGGAGCCTCTGTATCTTGTCCAGCTACAAACCCAACAGAAGAGGAAGGTCAGGCGGGCTTGAGTTCTTTGCTTTCTGAACATGCTCCTGCAGCCCGAGCAAGCCCCTTTCCCCAGTCCCGGTCCCGGTCCTATCCTCTAACAAGAGCCATCCATCAGGGTGTCCCTTCCGGACATCCATCGATCCATCTATCCGTCCATCCTGGGCATGTGGACAGCTGGCATTAGAGCAGCTGAAGGTCTAGCAGCTCCTTGCCATGACCACTGGCCCCAGACAGTCCCACAGACTTGGCTCCAAGGCTGCTGCAGAGACAGTGGGCTTTGCTGGAAAGGGCCCCATGTGACGCAAGGAGCACAGGCCTCCTCGTTGGCTCGGCTGAATCCTAACAGCTTCGAGCGTCAGGTTTTAGATGCAGGAAATGAACACGGTGATGCTTGAGGTGCGTTTCCTATCTGATGGGTTTGTAAAGATCCAACGAGATGATGTCAGCGAGAGGACTGTGTAATCTATCGAAAGACAAGTGCAGAGTGGGATTGCCGGCTCTCAAAGGCAAAGTGGGTGGACCCTCCCTTACTTACTTTGGCTCTCTCCTGCCGCACTTCTTTGGTCAAGGCCTTTAAGGTCTTCAGCTGTTCCTGCAGGTCAGGTGGTATAGTCTTTTTGACTACGAAAAATGGAGGCCTTATCGTCAGAAGGGTGGGATCGCCGGCAGGCCCCCCGTCCCAGCCCCCCACAGTGAAACTACCCTGGAAAGAGCAAGATGTACCTGCTTTTCCTGGTGGCTGGGTGGAGGCGACGGGAAGAAAGCAGAGAGGGGGTGTTTTCACCCCATAAAAATCCACCTGATGCTTAATATTCTAAAGGGCTTTGGGACTACTGACCCACACTTTCCACCCAGCTCTCAAATCTTAATTATTCTCTGGTCCCACAGCTGTGAACAAAGGTGAAGTTGAATTCTTCCAGGTCCCCCCCCCCCCCCCCACGCCCCTGGGTGCTACCACCGCCCTTGCCCGCTGTCCTGAGCTGCTGTCCAGAGAGTCTGATGAGGCATCGGAACCACCTTACTCTTCTGCTGAGGCTTCTTCACTTCTACTGGTTTAATTCCAGCTTTTGGCCCCCAAAGGCTATGGTAGAACCCAGAATGGCTTTTCAAGAAAGGATATGCTATTGGCAACGACTCAGGAAGAAACTCAGCTGCCAGGAGAGGAGGCCAGGGGGAAGGAGGTTACAACACAGTGGTCCCTCCTCCACATAAGTGGTACCTACCCATGAGTGAAAGCAAGTACTGTAACTTCTCTAAGTCGGTCTGGCCAGCCTTCTCCTCATCCAGCTCCTTCATGTTCTCCTTGAGCTCTACATAAAGGCCAATGAGCTCTCCCATCAGACGAAATGTTTCCACTGCTATAGGGAAGCTGGGAGACAATTTATCCAGGGAATCATGTCTTTCGCTCTGGATATCGACCCTTTCCGATGAGGCTCGGTGGAGATCGTTGAGAAAGACTGTACTCTTGGCAAAGGTGGCTTCTTGGCTTGGGGTAGTCCGGACAGAAATTCCAGCTCGGTCTGAGGTATATGTTTGTTGTGGATCCACACTGACCTGGAGCTGATCTGCCCCAGGAAAGCCTGGGCCCCGAGGGCCAGGATACGTGAGGTCACGGGATTCTGGGATAGAGTATGACTGGTCGTGCTGGTCTGCACCTGGTTTTATTTGGCCGCCCTGGTCTGTGCCCGGATGTATCACGCCTGGCTGGTAAGTTTCTGATAAACCCTCTTGGTCAGTACCTGGTGGTGCCAAGCCTTGGCCGGAGAGGAGCGGTGACACCCGGCCATGCTGACCTCTGCTAGGAGGCATTACACCATGCTGATATGGATGTGGTGATATAAATCTTAGAGACTCCGGGTGGAATGCTGGAAAGCCACGAAGCTCTGTGCTTGATGGTATTGAGCCTTGCTGATCTCTACCGGGTTGCCTCAAGCCACGCTGATCAGTAAGAGGCTGCATGAAACCACGTGGAAGTGCACCAGGCTGGACCAAACCACGAGGGTAGGCACCAGGTGGAACCAAACCTTGTGGATAGGCACCAGGCTCTACTGAACTGGGAAGATATGCACCTGGCTGTAGCAAACCAGGTGGATAGGCACCAGGTTGAAAAACGCCACGTGGACCTGTGCCAGGCTCTACCAAACCACGCTGCCCCACTCCACGTTGCACCAAACCAGGCTGACCTGCACCAGGTTGACCCGCACCAGGCTGGACCAAAGCAGGCTGACCCATTTGAGGTTGTACCAAACCAGGCTGACTTACGCCAGATTGTACCAAACCAGGCTGACGTGCACCAGGTTGGGCCAAACCATACTGACTCATTGCAGGTTGCACCACACCAGGCTGACCTGCTCCAGGTGGGACCAGACCAGGCTGTGCTGCACCAGGTTGTGCCAAAACACGCTGATCCATTCCAGGTTGGACCAAACCACCCAGATCCATTCCAGGTTGCACCAAGCTAGGTTGACCTGCTCCAGGTTGGACCAAGCCAGGTTGACCTGCTTGACCTGCTCCAGGTTGCACCAAACCAGGCTGGGCTGCACCAGGTTGCACCAAACCACGCTGAGCTGCTCCAGGTTGGACCAAAACAGGCTGAGCTGCACCAGGCTGCACCAAACCAGGCTGGGCTGCACCAGGTTGGACCAGACCACGCTGGGCTGCTCCAGGTCGGACCAAACCACGCTGACCTGCTCCAGGTCGGACCAAACCACGCTGACCTGCTCCAGGTTGGACCAAACCAGGCTGAGCTACACCAGGCTGCACCAAACCAAGCTGAGCTGCACCAGGCTGTACCAAACCAGGCTGAGCTGCTCCAGGTTGGACCAAACCAGGCTGAGCTGCTCCTGGTTGGACCAAACCAGGCTGAGCTGCTCCTGGTTGGACCAAACCAGGCTGAGCTGCTCCAGGTTGCACCAAACCAGGCTGACCTGCTCCAGGTTGCACCAAACCAGGCTGAGCTGCTCCAGGTTGGACCAAACCAGGCTGAGCTGCTCCTGGTTGGACCAAACCAGGCTGAGCTGCTCCTGGTTGGACCAAACCAGGCTGACCTACTCCAGGTTGGACCAAACCAGGCTTAGCTGCTCCTGGTTGCACCAAACCAGGCTGAGCTGCTCCTGGTTGGACCAAACCAGGCTGAGCTGCTCCTGGTTGGACCAAACCAGGCTGAGCTGCTCCTGGTTGGACCAAACCAGGCTGAGCTGCTCCAGGTTGCACCAACCCAGGCTGAACTGTGCCAGGTTGCACTAAACCACGCTGATCCATTCCAAGTTGGACCAAGCCACGTTGATCCATTCCAGGCTGCCCCAAATCGTACTGATCCATTCCAGGTTGGACTGAATCTTGCTGACCCAATCCAGGTTGCATCAAACCAGGCTGATCTGCACCAAGCCGTACTAAACCAGATGGATATACATCAGGGTATACCAAATCAAGAGGATAGGCACCAGGCTGGACCCAGCCAGTGGCATATGCACCAGGTTGAACCCAATCGGGTAGATAAGCACCAGGCTGAACCAAACCCCTTTCATCTACAACAGGCTGCACCAAACCGCACTGATCCATTCCAGGTTGGACCAAACCAGGCTGGACTAAAGCATTCTGGTCTGTGCCAGTTGGTCCCAAACCATGCTGAGCGATGAGATGTGGAACCAATCCGTGCTGATCCATGCCGGATATTAAAAATCCATGCTGATCCACGTGAAGAGGTACCAATCCACGCTGAGCCACATCAGGCTGCTGGTCTGTGCCAGAAAATGTCATGCCGTGCTGATATGTGCTAAATGGAACCATACCAGGCTGATCTGTGCTAGGTAGCTGCAAGCCTCGCTGATCTCTGCCAGGTACCAGTGGTGGCATCATACCACGCTGATCCATGCCAGGTAGCACCGATCCCTGCTCATCCATTCCAGGTGGCATCATACCAAGCTGACCCATGCTGAGGGGTACCACACTGTGTGGGTAAGTGCTATGATCGAGCGATGCAAGCTGATCCGTGCCAAGCGGTGCTATTCCATGTAGGTCTGGCCTTGGATAGATTTGACCGTAGCTAACGTGTACCCCCCCATGCTGATCTGGGTACACACGAGGATGCTGATCTCTGATCGCGGTGGCTGAGGGCAAGTCCTGTTGAACTAGACCAGGGTGGGCCTCTCGTTCATCTTTTCTTAGATGTGCTGAGGTGTGCGGCTGCAGCTGTCTAGTCCTGTGACGATCTGACTCTGGTCTGAATTGGGACACAGATGGGTGATGGGACTTTGCCACGCCAGCCTCGTCACGGGCCCTTGGGTGCTGTTCTCTACCAGGGGATGCAGTAGTGGGGGTGCTTTTCTTTCGTTCCCTGCCAACTCCTTCAGAGGGGTATCCCGTGGCACTGATTCCTGATAAGGTCCGATCGGAACCATGACCATTTGCAGAATCCACAGTTGGGTCAGCACTTGAGTGCTTGGTGGAGGCTCCATCATCTGATGTTAAGGAAGTATGTTTTTTGCGTTTAAGGAGTCCCGTTGTTGTCTCTGAGCCCTGGTTGAAGTGGAAGAAAGAGGTCAGTAAGTGTAAGTAGAAAGTCCTCACTATAAGACACGAAGGAAAGAAAACCTGGGACATCCGACAAGGATGACTTAGGGCCTTTGGAGAAACCTCTGGTCCCCAAGACTAAGCTGGACACAAAGACTTTGACGTTCTTGAAGGACAGGTCTCCAAAGCTTTGAGAATCTGCACATTTGCAAGTGGCATCATAAGATGTTATTTTTTAAGTTTCTTTATTTGAGAGAGAGAGAGGGTGCGTGTGTGCGCATGAGTGGGGGAGGGGCAGAGGGAGAGAGACAATCCCCGGCAGGCTCTCCACTGTCAGTGTGGAGCCTGACATGGGGCTTGGACTCACGGAACTGTGAGATCATGACCCGAGCTGAAACCAAGAGTCAGATGCTTCTCCGACTGAACCCCCCCCCCCCCCCCCCCCCCCCCCCCCCCCCCGGTGCCCTGCCACCATAATATGTTAATTCCCTTCATAAAGGACAGCGGGAACACTACACAATACAAGTGATCCACTCCAACTATCGCTGGGTCTACAAATAAAGGACATGAGTAATTTTATTAAGTTTAAAATATAAAGTCTACCCCATCAGTGGCCCATTGCTGATGGGAAAAGTATACATGGCAGGGCGAGTAAACCATGTCTCCAAAATGTGAATGCACCAACTCTTGTACCCGGAAATTCCATAGGTAAGATTTTCTCTGCGGACTCTTACAAAGGGCTGCCGGGATATATATACAGAGTCTGCAGCATTGTTTATGAAAACAGATTATCAGTAGGGGGCTGATCTAGTTAGGGGACACACTCATACAGGAGAATACTAAGAATCCGTTAAAAGAAGATAGGGACCATTTCCATTTCCAGCCCAAATGAAGTGACAGGAACTGGATTTACCCTCCCGTCTGTAATAACCAAAAATCAAAAACCAAAAGCAACAACAATGAAATAGACACGCTGGATACCGGCTAGTGAAGGCTGCCAACCCCGGAAACATGGGCAGGCCAACTGCGTGAGCTCTACTGCCTTAAGAGAGTTTCCAGGCTACAGTGCCAGGAGAGGGACTCCCCGAGTTGAGGAGAGAGAGTTGCGCCTTCAGGGAGACTGAGGCCACAAGGGCTCACAGGACAGAGTATCAGAAAGAAGGGACATGCACCTAGAGAGGACTCCGGAGCTCTGCAGAGGGCCCCCTTTGGGTATCCAGCACAGAAATGATCAGCATGACTATGTGAGGAAGCTACCCAAGGTTGGGAAGGGAGCCATCTGCAAGGCTGGAGGGAACCGTGCCCGGACTCTCCTGGGGTTGGGAACGGTGCCGGTTTCTATCAGCCAGTTTGGAAAAAACTCCTAATTCGGGGGAGAGTGCTCAGAAAGGTGTTGCCTCATTAATGGAGAATAAGCGGCTCTATGCCGAACGCTGCTATGAACCCCCTAAGAACCCCAACACATATACAGAAAAAGAAACAAGGGAACGAAAACAGCGCACGAGAATACATTTATGTAACACCAAAGAGACGCGATTGAGGAATGGGGGAATGGAGAAGACCTAAGATATATGGAAAACACATAGCAAATGGAAGACGTAAATCTATTTTATCAGTAATTAAACACCCCATCCAGGAGGTGCCTGGATGGTTGGTTAGGTGTCTGACTCTTGATTTTTGGCTCAGGTCATGATCTCACAGTTCCCATGAGACGTTGGGTGGCCCCTGGATTGGATAATGCCCGGCAGCACGGGCCTGCACACCCCAGGTTGTTCTCTCTCCCCACCCTACCTCCCCCCCCCACCTGCCACCTCCCTTCTCACTACTTTTTAAAAAAAAAAAGAGGAAAGAAAAAAAGCACTCCAATCTTAAGTCTCCCATCAGAAGGAGATTTGCAGAATGGATTTAAAAACCCGATCACCGTGGGGCACCTGGGTGGCTCAGTCGGTTGAGCCTCTGACTTCGGCTCAGGTCATGATCTCACAGTGTGTGAGTTCGAGCCCCGCATCGGGCTCTGTGCTGACAGCTCAGAGCCTGGAGCCTGCTGCGGATTGTGTCTCCCTCTCTCTGCCCTTCCCCTGCTTGTGCTCTCTCTCTCTCAAAAATAAACATAAAAAGAAAAGAAAAACTGATCACCGTGTGCAGCTTTTTCTTTCCGCATCTGGAGGCACATGAGACCTTGTCCACAGACTAGGCAGCCATGGCCAGGGAGGACACAGCAGCAAGCACCAGTGTGTGTGTCCTGGGCAGGGGTGGTGCCGGCACAGTACGTGTTCACCTTAAAGAGGAACGTGAGGCAGAAGTCCAAGATCACTGAGATGCCTGTATCCAAGCCCTGCATCTCTGGATGTTGCATATTGTCTATGCTGTTGTTCTAGGACAAGTTTAAGAACAGAACTCGGAGTGCCTTTAAGGACAACTAACCAAGAAATAACTAATAAAAAAAATCTGCTGTGTATGTGAAAATGAGGTCAGAATTCCAAAAAAGTTCAGGTCATATCAGGAGCCTTATAAGAAATGATCTGTGGTCTTATCAAAGAAGGACCCTGCCAGCCTTCAGGTAATAATAGACCCCGATAGGACTCTAAGTGGGTTTTCCTAGTTCCTAAAAAGGGAAAAGATGCTCACCAAGTCATAATATCATTGAGAATTATAAGCTGGTGACAAACGGAGGTCCAGAAAAGTTACTTCAACAAAAAGGAAAAGATTATGCTACAAAAATTGATCCTGTTCCTACCATAGAAGTACCCCTAATATGGTTGAATGGAACCCTAAATCACAGGGTTTGCTTATTGAACAAGCTCTACCAAGAGCTAAACTGAAAGAAAGAGAAATTGTGGCAGAATCTGATGTATGTTCAAGGAAGGATACAAGAATTTGATAGTCTTTGATAGTCTTTGATAAGTTCCAACGACACAGTCTCCCTGTGTTCAAATTTCAGCTGGCTGCTGCTGATGTACTGCAGGAAGTTGCCCATCAGGCTGGCGTTTATCACCCAAATGTCAGAATCATGACCAACTTCATGGATTTTGATGAAAACGGGGTGTTCGAAGGACTTAAAGGAGAACCAATTCATGAATTTAACAAACATGGTGCCTTGAACACCACAGAACATTTTGATCAACTACAAGACAGTAACAACATAATTCTGGGAGACTCCCAAGGAGGCTTGAGGATGGCAGATGGTAAACAGCCAATGCTGAACACATTCTGGAAACTGGATTTCAAAATGATAGGGTGGGTGAACTCTTAGAAAAGTACATGCACTCTTATGATATTCCTTTAGTAAAAGATGAATCATTGCACATAGCCAACACTGTCTTACAGAAGATTCTATAAACAAGCATTCTTCAAGAAGACCTCTTTCCTCTGGAGGCAACTGATACAAGAACTGCTTGTCCATTCATCTTGCTACAAAACTCTCATTTATAATACATTCTTGCCCTTGAAGGTTTCCTTTGCACTACTCAAGTATCTTCAGACACACTGAATCTATCGACTGGAAGTTCCTTTTTCTTCACCTCGCTCAATACACTCCTCACCATATTTTTTGACAGATTAAAGAAACAAATAAACCTTAAAGCAAAATTTGAAAAGTAACGCCCAACTTATCCAAAAATTAATTTTGTAGTTCATGTTATCACAAAGTTTTTGAAGACTTTCTTTTTTATACTGGCCAAGTTGGTAGAAGTTAAAACAGAAGTTTTATGAAATGGTGAAATAATGTGCATGATTCCAAGTATTGTTCTTTTTATAATTTGGTGAATTATGCTGATGCTATATATTATCCTGAAATTGTGTTATGTGTGATTATTTTGTTTTAGGAACATATTTATCAGGAATGATTGGCACTTGGTGTTGAAAAACTCTGGGTGCCCACATGTCACTGATCTTCACAAAATGTTCTATAGCGGAGGTGCCTGGGTGGCTCAGTCAGTTAAGCATCTGACTTTTGATTTTGGCTCAGGTCATGATCTCAGGGTTGTGAGATTCAGCCCCTTGTGGGGCTCTGCACTGGGTGTAGAGCCTGCTTAAGATTCTCTCTCTCCCTCTACCCCTCCCCCCTCACTCGCACTCTGTCTAAAAAAATAAATAAAATTTAAAACCCCAAAATGTTCTATAATGAAGCGCTGATAATACACATGAAATGAAAAGCAAAAACAAAAAACCAAAACTGATTCATGACCCAATTGTATGCTGTCTGTAAGAGACATATATTAGAGCCAAAGAAACAAACAAGTAGAAAGTAAAAAGATAGAAAACAATAAACCATGCAAATACTAATCAAAAGAGAACTGGAGGGATGCCTGGCTGGCTCAGTCAGTGAAGCATGCAACTCTTAATCTTAGGGTTGTGAGTTTGAGCCCCATACTGGGTGTAGAAATTACTCCCCCCACCCCCAAAAGAAAAGAACAGAAGAGCTGGAGTGACTGTACTACTATCAGACAACATTGTTAATAGAGACAAAGAAAGACATTTTATACTGACACAAGAGTCAATTCATTAGGAAGACAGAATAATTTTTAAAAAATATATGAACTGAGCAACAGAGAGCTCTAACATACATAAAAAACCGGACAGGATTAAAGGGAGAAATAAACAATTTAACAATAATAGTTGCAGACTTCAATACCCCACTTTTTTTTTTTTTTTTTAATTGTTTAATGTTGATTTTTGAGAGAGAGAAAGAGTGCCAAGTGGAGGAGGGACAGAGAAAGAGGGAGACACAGAATCTGAAGCAGGCTCCAGGCTCTGAGCTGTCAGCACAGAGCCAGACATGGGGCTCGAACTTATGAACCATGAGATATGCTGGGTGGGACACTTAACCGTTGACTGAGCCACCCAGGCGCCCTGATACCCCACTTTCAATAGGGATAGAACCAATAGGTAGAAGATCAACCAGGAAACAGAAGACTTGAACAACACCATAGACCAACTGTACCAGCAAATATCTGTACAACACTTCACATAACAAGATCTGAATAAACATTTTCCACAATAGACCACGTTAGGCCACTAGAACGCAAACAAAACACAAAACACAGGAAAAAAATAAAGATGTTTTCAGTCATATAAATGCAAGCTGAAAT